TAGTGTCATTATCCCATTTTTCAGATGAGGCACAAAGAGGGGCAATGATTTGCCCAAGGTCACCCAGCTGGCCAGTGACAGAGCCAGGAATAGAAGGAAGGTATTTTGAGTCCCAGTCCAGTGCTCTCTCCAGGCCATACTGTGAATGCCATTGATTTTGCTGGGACTTTTGCCTGTGTTTCTGAGGGCAGGTTTGTTATTTCCAGCCTTCGCTGATCATTTTCTGCCACGTTTGTGCACTGCTGGTGCTCAGTAAATAAGGGATAGTAATGAAAGTGGTACATTTTCTCAGGCTAAATAAATCCACCATGGTAGATCACAGCTTCAAAGAAAGCCACTTGTTTGATAGACTCTGGCTGACCAAGGGTTGCAAGCATTAATGGATAAGGAAGATATAAACCTTTGCAGGGGGTGCAAAAAAATTGATCCTGATTTTTGGCCCTGCTTTGCATCACCCACCAGCATGAAACAGCCATACAGCTGTTTTACATGGCCCCTGGAGAATTCCCCATGGATGGGGACATCCTTGGATGGCTTGGTGGCCTTCACCGCATCTAGCATAGGGATGTGGCCAGGGAAAAGAGAGCATGGCCCAGTGGTCTCTATTCTCTGGCTGTTGGAATGGCCCCTTGCTCTAATTTAGGCAGGGACCAACTCTGTGGCTGGATCAAGGGAACACAAAGGTCGCTGAAAGCCACATTTGTGCATACCCTTGCTGATCTGCACCAAGTACAGCTTGTCCTTCTGGACTATACACCCTGCATCCTTCAAAGGATCGGTTTGGCTGGCAGTCTGGAAAATTCTAATTTCCTCCAGGGTTAAAAGAAAGACGGAAGGACAAGATTTTAAATGTCTTGTTAAAACAGATTGCACTGAAGCCAAAATGGGTGAGATTTTGCAGGTCTGGAGCTGGAGCTTGGGGAGGGGAGGATGGCAGAGGAAAAAGCTGTATGAGAAGACAGCGCTGCAAATGCCTTATCTTTACCAGGAGCAGCAGCAGCTATCTAAAAGCCTGTAGAAGCCAAAGCAGCAGTGACAGATTGTTTTGTAAGAATCTGGAGCTAGTCAAAGTAATTATAGTTCCAAAGTCCAGATCCACCTCGATGGCTATTTCTGAGAGTACAATACAAATGAACACCTTTCAGGAGAAAAAAGTATACCCACTGCTCGGTTTGAGTGCCATCGGGAATTTGTTTTTAACAGCAGGAGTTTTGATAGGCTGTACCTTTTTCTTTAGGTTTCCTGTGGGGGGGGAGGCGGAAGGGGGGCTGCCAAGCTGTGACAATGTGAGAGATTTAAATCATTCATGACTCAGTTTGTTAAATGGCTCATGGAGACACGTTGCCAGTGCTTTCATCATCAGCGGGATGAGAGACAACGAATGCCAGCGAGCCTCCAATAGGCAGATAGGAGTGTGAAATTGCTGCTGCAGTTTTTTGGGTGCAAGAGGAAGAGGAGGCTTGAAGAGCTGGGGTTCCCTTGTAGCATAAAGGGGGGAGGGGAATCATTTGGCTTCGTCATTGTCAGAGAAAAAAAGTGTGTTCGAAGCACAGGAGTGGGAGCCAGGAACTCCTGGATCCTAATCCACCAAGCTCTCACACTGAGTCACTGAGGCCACGACTGCACTACAAACTTTGGTTTATGCAAATTACATTGCCATACAGCTGCCAAAGCTTGTGTATCGACCAGGCACACACATACTTGACTGCTTGCATCGGGGCTGCACGTGGTCACCAGGAGTGCTTGTGCTGATGCAAATTGCGGTGCGCCATGGGTAGGTATCCCAGTGTGCCATATGCTACCATCTGGTGCAAGGCCTTTTGGGAAATTTTTGCAATGTGTTGTGGAATAGAAATGGCTCTCCCAGGGATCTGTGAGATCTAAGGGTCACGTTCCCAGAATGCACCTTTCTCCATCCCATAATGCCATCCGTATCCCATCATTTCACACCTCTTTTTAAAAATCCCACAAACCTGTGTGGCACTTTTCAGTGTCCGCCATCCCTGACAGAAGCACGGAGCCTGCAGAGCTCCGTGCTATTGTGACTAATGTTGCAAATACAGGACTCACAATTCTTCTGTATTTGCAGATCCACAGGAAGTATTGCAGTAATGGGGGTCATGATGATTTCTTGGAGGACAGTTTGCTGAGGGATACAGCGAAAAGCTATTCCAGGTTATTGGTGACATTCCCTGAGCAGCTGCAGATGGTGGAGGAGTGCCACATCTGGGCCTGACAAGCAAGCACTGACAGGTGGGATCGCATCGTAATGCAGGTGTGGGACAACAAGCAGTGGCTACAGAACTTTTGGATGCAAAAGGCCACATTCCTGGATATGTGTGCCACGCTTGCTCACCCCAACACTTCACGACAGGGACACCAGAATGAGAGCTGCATTGACAGAAACAAATGGCAATCGCACTCTGGAACCTTGCAACACCAGATTGCTACTGGTTAGTGAGAAATTATTTTGGAGTTGGGAAATCCACAGTGTTGGCTGTTGTCATCCACTTGTGCCAGGACATTAATTGTCACCTGCTGATTCTCTGCAATGTGTAGGACATAGTGGATGGATTTGCAGCAATGGGGCCCTGTTGCATATCCCTATTTTGGCAGCACGTATATACCTGTTCTGATACTAGGGCACCTTGCCACAAAGTACATCAACAGAAAGAGCTACTTTTCTATGGTGGATCAACAGGGATACTTCATTGACATCAGTGTGGGCTGGTCCGGGAAGGCGCATGATGCTCACATCTTTAAGAACCCAGGACTGCTCAGAAAGATGCAAGTAGGAACATTCTTTCCCGACCAGTGGATTACCATTGGCAATGTAGAAATGCCAAGTGATTCTGGGGGACCCAGAGTATCCTTTGCTCCCCGGTTCATGAAGCCGTACATTGGCTACCTTGACAGTACCAATGAAAGCTTCAGCAGGTGCAGAATGACTGTTGAATGTGCTTTTGGTAGGTTGAAGGGACACTGGTGGTATTTACTCACTAGATTGGATCTCAGTGAGCAAAATATCCCAATGGTTAGAGCCACCAGTTGTGTCAGGGAAGAAAGGTTGAGCTGGGAAATAAAGGAGATAAAAGTGACCCAAAGAAAGCTTCTGACGCCAGTTTAAGGCTTTTTGCATTCATGAAAAAGAAATCCCAGCCAGTGCTGGCTGGTGATGCTGGGAGATTGCTTTAGGTGAGAAACTGCTTGTTTAGACTATAAGAAGGGTGTTCTACTTTTGTTTTATTTGTAACCATTTCTGTTCCCACTTCTTATCCTTGCTCACTATTTCTTAGATCTTAGCCTTTTGTACTAAACTTGATTTTCACTATAGATGTATCTCAGTGCTGTGATGTTATAAAGGACCTGATCCTGGGCTGTACCAGCCAACCTGGGTTTAAACTGTTCCTTTAGAGACCACAAACCTGGCGAATTCTGTGAGTGTCCAGTGGCTAGACACAGCGGACCACTTCAAGCGGGCTGGTGTATATCTATCACTAGCCTGCACAGAGAGAGTGAGGTCTGAAGAGACCTGGAAGGCAGCGCTTGTGTGGCCAGAGGCTGATGGTTTCAGGGAGCTGAACTACAGCAGGCAGAAACAAGGCTGTTTCACACTAAGGGGAGTTAGCAGTAAGGTGCCTCACAAACCTGGGTATTGTCACAGCTGGAGGAGGGATTTGAACTTGGCTTTTCCACATTGCAGGAGTGTGCCCTAATGCCTAGACTAGTGGTCTCATATTCTCTCCTGTTAAAGCTGTTCCATGCCATTTTTATATAAACTACTTGACTCGTCATTGGGCCAGAGAGAGAGTGAGAATAAGCGTGGCGAAAGCTTATGCTCAAATAAATTGGTTAGTCTCTGAGGTGCCACAAGTCCTCCTGTTCTTTCTGTGGATACAGACTCACACGGCTGCTGCTCTGAAACCCGTCATGTTATTGTAGTGAGTGTTTATGTTGACATGGGCCAGCACTGCAACATTTTCCGTGCACACACCCTAAGGAAAACCCACCCCAGAATAGTCTATATCCCAGTGGAGCCTAGGACACTTTCCTGCAAATATGAGCGACTCAAATTCAAATCTCTTCTTCATATCAGGCAGCGAGGGGAATGAAGTTTGTGTCTCCCATGTCCCATGGGCTAAAAGTTACAAGGTTGGTAACAGCTGCATGTCTTTGTCTGGCTGTGTTGTAAATGGTGTATAAAAATTACAAGTTGATATGACCAGGCAAATTCATGTCAAATTTACTGTGGGAGCTTCAGGCTCGGGTGAATCTCCATCCTTCCTAGTCTCTCCCTGTAGCACATGACACTCTAGTCTCCTGTGGGCTGTAATACTTTGGTTTCATTTCAGTTGTTGGGTTTAGTGTGCAGGTGCTGGCTGGTAGCCTGTGATGTATTCAGACCTGACGCTCTGCTGTGCCTTTCTGGCCTTAAACTCTATGGCTCTAAATTCACTATTAACAAACAACCTATTTGTCAGAAAAATGTGCCTCTCTCTACTGCTGAGGGGCTATTCTTATTAGTGATGGGGAAGATACAGCTCTTCCTTCTCAAGGCGTAGCACCAGAGGACTCAAAAGATTTTTGGGAGCAGAGCTCCCCAACCCAGGAGGCTTTGACAGCAGCCAGCTGCCCAGCTCCCACATCCCTGCCCAGGAACAACCGCTGCAGCTGGCAGCAGCAGCTGAATTGGTCAGCAGTGAATTCCTTAACAGCCTTAACTGGGGTCTGCCCTCGTTAGGTTTCAGGGTTAACGCCCCGCCGAAGGGCAGGAGGGAGCTGGCTGCCCCCAGACCGTCCAGCGCTCCGCCCCGCCTGCGGCCCCAGGCCTCTCCGCCCCGCCCCTCTTCCCTCCGGCCCCGCCCTCTGCCCGCGCGGCCACACTCCGCATGGCCCCCGACGCGCGCCGCGCCCGGCCCCCTGATTGGGCGGCGCGTTCGGGCGGGCGCGCGCCCGCCCCTGTGTGGGCGGGGCCAGCGGGGCGGGCGCGGCGCGCGCCGAGTCCCGACGCGAGAGCCGCGGGGTCGGTTGCGCTGCGCGTTGCGAGCGGTTGCGCCGCGCTCTCTCCCTTGGTAACCGGAGTTGCGGGAGGCGGGGACTGTCCGCCGCTGCCAGCAGCCCCGGGGCCCCTGCCCGGCTCCAGCCTCCCTCCCTGCCGGCCGCCGAGAGCGCGAGTCCCGCCGCGGGGAGCGGAGCCAGCGCGGGGCGGCGGCGGCTCCATCATGTCGACGGGCGGCGACTTCGGCAACCCGCTGCGGAAATTCAAGCTGGTTTTCCTGGGCGAGCAGAGCGGTGAGTGACCCGGCCCCGGCCGCGACCGAGACCCCTGTGACCCCCCCCCCTTCACGCCCAACGGCTGAGCGGGGCTCGGCCCCCTCCCCCACCCCGGAGCAGGAAACCCGGCCCCATCGGGACCCCGCTGAGCCTCCCACGGGCCCCGGCCTCTCGCTCCGCCCGGCCTTGGAGCGCCCGCCAGGCCCCCCGGGCTCTGTCCTCGCCCCCGGCGGGGCGGAGCTGAGCTGCCCCTGCCCGGGAGCCGCAGCCCCTCGCCCCACCGGCTGATGCAGCCCGCCCGCTGTGGGGTTTGGTGGGGGCCGGAGCCGGGCCCCGCCCGATGGGGAAGGGTCCCCCCCCCACCCCCGGGGCGAGTGTCGTCTTGTGCGGAGAGCGACGGGCTGGGAACCTGCTTCGGGAAGCCGCCCTCTGCCGCCACCTTCCTGTGCATCGGTTCCCCCTCCCCGCGGAAATAGTGTTGCTCTCTCCGGTTGCGGCTGGGGGATGCTTGACTGTGATCTTTACCTTTATAATGTCGTAAATTCAGCCCCCCGCCCCCCCCGCCACAGAAGAACCAACTGGTGTTTGCTCCAGTGGGGGCAAGAGGGGGAAATGAAAGTGGCCAGTATTTCTCTGAATGAATTTTAATCACTGTCTATTTGGTAATGGGGGGAAGAGATTTCAAATAGTGCAGTTGTGGTAGAAGCAGCTGCTGATTTCATATGATCTGGGTTTGGTTGGTTTCCTGGGGAGGGTGGAAACCGAGACTGGTAATTCTACTAAATAGTGGATTTTTTTTTTAGGAAACTGTGAATTACATTCTATCAAAGTGTTTTGAACACCTTACATATTTAATGTAGCAAATGAGAATACCCTCTCCCTCTTTGATGGAAGAAATCTGAATGCCCGCTTCCTCCTCAGCAAAAGGCCCTTGCTATCTCACCAGTGCAGTACAAAACCCTGATTTCATTCCTCGGGAGTGGATTGCTTTATTGAAATAATGTTGTCTGCATTTATAAGATGTACTATAATGAGACACTTTGATGAGGGTTGAGCAAAAATATTTAGTCTCTTCTGTCCCTGGGTGGGGTGGAATTGGTATCTGCTGCCACAGCCAGCACTAATGTGTTTTGAAATCTGCCTGGAAAGGGATGCTAATCCATAAAGGATCCCTTCTACCTTCTCTGGAATGACTTACATTTTGGTGTCGCTTCAGTCTACTTTAAACTGTCTTGGTGGTGGGAGACTGCTGTTAGCAAATCAAGTCATATACACGGGCAGTTCTGTGCCTCTTTCCTTTGTTGGGAGAGAGCTCCTTTCCATATTACTGTATGCCCAACTTGTATATCTTTTTGGGTAAGTAGCGTCATACAGAAAGTGAGGTGCTGCCTGGACAGCCATTTTATGAGAATTTCAGGAGAGGGTCGTGTGTAAAGACACTGTTCATACCAAGTAAATATTGATAAAATGAATTTAAAGTGCTTGCTACACACCCCTGGGATGCTGCTGCCGCCTGTTTTATTGTGTTGCTGATATTTAGTTAGGAGGAAGCCTTTTAATATGGGTCTCAAAGGAAGAATTTTAGCTTCTAGTACTGCTTAATACATCTTGGTAGGTAGCTTCCTTAGTTGACAAATGAATTTCTCACATATTTCAGTTCTATCCAACATATTGCAGACCATCTAGTGTCTAAATCTTCCAATCCTGTTCATTTTTGTGCTTGAGCTAATCATATTTGTACCAGAAAGGTTTACATGATTCCCATTGATAATACCAGATGTATATTTTGGGGGTAGGGAGGAGAGGAGATGATCATGGGTACAATGTAGCGGAATGCTACCAACGAACCCACTCTTCTGACGTACATGATTAAACAAGGTTCTCATGTACAGTGGAAAAATCACTACTTTTTCCATGCTGTCAAAGTGAGGTTTAGACAGCTCCACGCCATCTTGAGGTAATTTGTGTATGAATTATTTTTTTTAGTAGCCTTAGTGCTGTGAATTTTAATATTGGATTTTGCCACCTTTTAGCTCATTCCCCTTGTCCTTTCAGGGTTGGTGAACGAGGAGGATGCAGAGAAATCTAGAAACAAACGAACCCTTGTAGAATAGCAACATTTACAAATCCAGCATCTGTTTAAAAAACACTGCAGCTGGAATATCTTTTTCACTTCCTGTTTCGCTAAATCGTTGTCTGCCTTGTTGGAAGGCCATAATTAAAGGTATCCTACTGCTGCTGAGAGGAGAACAGAATGCTGCTTTTGCATTGTTTTCTTTCAGTCACTTCAGAATGGCAAGTGAAATGTTATAGTGGGCTCTGCTGCTGATTAGCTGGAGGGAGATACATGCCAGGGCTAAGATCAGGCCTCTTGTGTTGGCTGCATTCAGTCTTTTCAATAAATGTATGTGTTGCTGTTCCATTATTCTTAATTGGAGTTGGTTGAAGTTTTTAATACCTTGCACAGGCGATGTAGTAATGTGATCAAGGATAATATCTTGCCATGTGAAACTGGATATGTTTGTGGAGATGTCAGTTTTAAATAAGACACAGAAAACCAAGTTAACAGTAAAAGATGCAGATCACATCTGTTGTATTAAGCCATATTACAGCAGCCTTCTTGCTAGGCATATTTACTTGGACTGCAGTGATTCTTCCTGATTATGCTGTTCCTTGTTATCTGCTGCAGGTTCTCTTGCTGTACTAACATGCTGATTGGTTCATTATTATTATTTATTTATTATTTTTAGATTATAAACTTCCACCTTCTCCCCACTTCCGCTGTCTCCTCAGCTGGTGTCTCCTCAGTTACTTATATTGCCTGCCATTCATGCTTTAGTTGAATCAATACCTTGAGAGCTCTCCATGCTGGAGAAGGAAAACTGACAGACTGCTGCAGTCTTCTGCCAGTGCTGATCAGTCCGTGGGGGTGTGTTGGCTGGATGACCTAAAATCACTTGCAGCTTCTTTCAGGATTTACTGCGAGTTGCTGGTTCTCAGCTGAAGTACATTTTTATTTCCAAACTAGATTAGCGATACTTGCTGTGGATTCCTTACCAGCCTGCGGCTTGTTCCTTCTCTGGCCCGAAAGAGCTCTGTTTGAACCTTGCATTTTTTGACTGTGGTATAAAGACACTTCTTAGGCTAGCAATGGGTAAAATTTAACTGGTGCTAGCCTTGATTGAATTACTATTTCTATGATTGCAGATTACATAGAGTTTAGTAGTGTTAAATATGTTAATCTTCCCTGAAAAGATGGAGCTTTGTGCTGAGGATTTAGATGCAGCTAGAGTAAAATCTATGTAATTATATATATATATAAATCGTCCCCTTAGTACCTTTTGATCTTGTTTTTCTTTCAGGTGATTTCTGGTAGCCTAAATGTCCCAAGTTAATATTTAATTGCTATTTCAGGGTCAGATTATCAGCTAGAGTGGCACAAACCACCCTTATTAAAGTAGTTTTCAAATACAATTGCTGTGTGCTTGAAAACTGTAGAAAATGTTCAGCAGTCTTGTCCTCTTCATTGTTGTCTGGCATGTGTGCTCCCCCTTTCATTCTGGGTACACGCGGCCAGTTCCCTGCCTGAGCAGGCAGGAAGAAGTGTATGCCAGTGGCAGGTAATAGAAGTATTACTCTTCCTGATTTCATTGGATATGTTTATACCGTGAGTTTTATTAGAAAGGAAACCTGGAGGGCATCTATACAGGGACAAATGCAAATACAAATGCGAAGCAAGAAATCACTTGCTTTGGTATGTCAGGTAGGGGTGGGGAGAGAATGTCAGTCTGTCTGCCTTTTCCCCAGGCTGTGGATGCTTCCCTGCAATGGATGACCAGAAAAATCAACTATGTTAATCTGTATCTATCTTCTAAAACACTTTATCACCATGGTAGCTAAGTGTTGTGCAACAGCTAAGGCCCTGTCTTCACTAGGGAATATATTTATCTGTGTTTTGAAATGACTTAACAATTGGGTTAGTTCATACAATGCTGACCAGCGTAGGGCAGACCGAGTCATGGTTTCCATGTCAGCTAGCGATGGGACCACATGGGTCATAGGTCAACAAATGAGCTACAATGGTGATCACAGCTTGGTCACCAGCAGCTGGGGACAGCATCACCATGTAACTTGATTCTTTAAGTATGATTAAACTTCCAGTGAAGACCAGTCTGAAGAAGCATTGAGCTTGACCGCCAAAGATTAATATCTTGTATCCTTCTCTCTCTCATGTTTATTCCTTGTTCCATTGTATTTGGGCTATTGTTATTGAGGAAGGGTGGTCCAATAGTGAGGGCTGCAGCCTGGGATTCAGGAGACCTGGGTTCAATTCCTTGTTCTTTCACAGACTTCCTGTGTGACTTTAGGCAAGTCACTTAAACCTCTTGGGTCTCAGTTCCCCATCTGTCAAATGGGATAATAGTACTTCTCTACCCTATAGATGTGTGGTGACGATTATACATCAAGGCCTGGTCTACACTTAACACTTAGGTCAACCTAGCTACATCACTCAAGAGAGTGAAAAAGATTTAGTTAAGCTGCCCTAAACCCTAGTGTAGACACAGGCTGAAGGAATAATTCTCCCATCGACCTAGCTACCGCCTCCTGAGATATACCATACAGTGATGGGGAAACTTTTCTGTTGCTGTAGCAAGTATCTACGCTACAGTGGTGTAGCTGCAGGTGTGCCACTATAGCGCTTGTGTAGACGTATCCTAAGGATTGTAATGCAGTCTGAAACTATAGTAATGGGGGCCAGATAAGTGTTGACTATATATCATCTGTTGGAGGATGACTTAATTGGGGGGGGAGATCTTCTTTGGATCCAAAGACAGTAGCAGTTCTGTCTGCATTTATGCAAATGCTATCTAACAAAATGGATAGAGATTAAATGATCTTTCCTACCCCTAAAGGTGAACTGAATTGTCCTAAAAAATACAACTGTTTGAGTCTACCAGTTAGCCTTCTGTTCAAAGCACGGTGTAGATCATGGTCTCCTTTGAGAACAGGACCCCGGC